TTCATTGAGAATCACACCTTGAAATTCAAATGGGAAACCATCATGTCAACATGAATCAGGGCCTAACTAAAATTCAGACAAAATTCCCTTTATATGACAATGAAAATTATCTTAGAATTGCGATAAGAAGAAAGCTGAAATAACAGAAAACTGTTAGTGGCAATGATCCTATCAAATACCATTTCATTGAATAATGTAAGAGTAGTGCCAGAAGAGAATGACAATTTTTTTTTTTGTCTTAGGGAAAAACAAATTACAATTTAAAAGGAGAGAACTATTTCATATGGTTCTAATTTAAAATCCAGTGATGAATTGTTTCATCCTTTTACTGGACTCATAGGCTGTAAAACTGAACTAGAAATTGTTCATTTGGCTTTTACGATGAAGGTTTCTTTTTGTTGTTTGTTTAGTTTTGAGGCAGAGTTTCGCTAGGTAATCCAAGCTAGCCTTGGACTCCTAATCCTTGTGTTTCAGTCTCCTGGATACTGGGATTACGGGTTAGTGCCATCATGCTTGGAAAGTCTTAGAACTTCTGCTTGGTCAATTGACTACACTAGGACATACTCACAGCCTTGATGGCAAATTTTAAAATTGGAAGTTTTCCTGGGTCAGAAATGGTTTATACAGAATTTTCCATCTCAAAAAGATTCCTTTTTCAATCTAAGCAAAGATTGGAATGGAAGGAAAAGAAAGAATGAAAAGCAAAGAGAGAGCGCAAGAGAAGAAAGAATGGGGCAATGGGAAGTTAGACTAAGTGAACTAAGGAGGAGTGTCCAAGGTTCGTACTAACTCTTGAAGCAGGGGTGTAGCTCAGTGGTAGGGTACGCAGTGTAAGGCCCTGAGTTTAGTCCCTGGCACTACCAAATAAATAAATAAATAGAAAAGAGGAGGAGGAAGAAGAGGAAACAAAAAGAAAATAAATTTTCACAAGCACACTGAGGTACAAATGACACACAGGAAGCTGCACATATTCCAAATGTGTGATTTGCTCAGGTCTGCTATACACACATCCACCAAAGCCATCACTGAGCACAAGTTCACCACACCTAGCCCCTCCATATCCCTTCCTGTCCCCCCATTCTTTACACAATGAGATTGAGTCTTAAGAATTGTATATGATCACATAATATCACACAATGTTTTCTATTTTATAGTATGATCCCTTTCAGCATTTTTGAGATTTGTACATGTTCCGTGTACCAATAGCTTTTCTTCTTTGATACAGACATGTCTCCACATAATTGTGCCAAAGACTTACCAAACTTGACCTGCTCAAAATAAATCTCATTACTTTCTGGTGACCAAAGAGTCCTCTCCAGATTTCCTCACCTTGTGACTGTCAACCATGGTAACAGGAGTATCTGCTTGGGATCCAGCCTTACCATTCCCTCCCCCTCACTATGCTCATGTCCAGTTATCATAGACTCCTGCCAACAGAGCCTGTAAATATCTTCCTGATACATCCATTTATTTGTGTTTCCGTGGCTACCAAACAAACAAAGCCATTATAATTTCTTTCTGAACGTTCTTGGAAATATTCCAGTGTCCATTCTTTTCTTCATGTTAGCAGTTCCCATATGAGTGTTTTCTTTCTAGAACACAATCCTTCAATGTGAAGCTTTGAGTCTTATTTAACAGATTTTCACTGTTCCTAGGATTTGAAGACAAATATTGGCTTGACTGACTTGAGTGGTTCCTACTGACCATTTTGTATAGACTAGCCTCTGGCCAAGTCCCAGACCACTGGTGATTCCCATCACAGTTTCTTAAACCCTGACATTCTCCCATCCCTGCACTGAGCCCATCAGCAAATCACAATTCCTGCTGTTAGGGTACTATTCAAATAAGCTACCATTGTTTTAATGTTAATATTTATTTTTCTTTTTTTAAGTTGTATTTATTATAGTGTTCTGTCTGCATGTATCCATGCAGGCCAGAAGAGGGCACCAGATCTCATTACAGATGGTTGTGAGCCATCATGTGGTTGCTGGAAATTGAACTCAAGACCTGTGGAAGACCAGCTAGTGGGTGTTTTTGTTTGTTTGTTTGTTTTGTTTTGTTTGTTTGTTTGTTTGTTTTTGTTTTTTCCCATAATTAAAACTTTATTGAAAAACTGGCACCAAAATAGGAGATCATCACTGTATACTTTATAAAATCAAACATAGTTACATTGCCTTGGTAGAGTCACTGAACTTGATAAGGCTTTCTGTGAAAAAACGCAAACTCAGGAACATGTATAGATGATTAGTGTTGCTTTCTTCTAAAAGAACAGCCTTCTGTGAGCCTGGCTTTTCCTCCTGTGGGCTGGCACAGCACCGTTGAACAACCTACACAAAGGACCACTGCCTGAGCATGGCTGAAAACTGTAGTAATCTTGTAGCAACCTGGACATTACACATCCATGAAATAAGAATTTGGGCTCTGAACCAACCATTTCTTCTTATGTTTCTTCTTTTCCTCTTCCAAGGAAAGGTGTAATAGATCTCTGGCCAGAGGCATGGTGACAGCTCCGCCAGCACAGGCGATCCAGATCTCTGAGATGAGGTGCTCGCTGGCCCCAGCTAGTGTTCTTAACCACTGAGCCATCTCTCCAGCCCCTTATTTTTCTTATGTGGTAAAATCTTATGTACTTCAGGCTACTCTTGAGCTTACAACCTCCCCACGTGCTGGGATTATAGACTTGAGCTGGGTCCAGCTCATTTCATATGAGTCAACCATTTCATATGAACCGTTGCCACAAACCACTAAGGGTGAAAATTAGTTTAAATCCATTCATACTCTTCTCTCTCCCTCCTCCCTCCCTCTCTTCCATCTCTCTCTTCTTCCTCCCATTCAATTGTTTTTCCAACAACTCACTGGTCTATATGATGGCTTCTAGCATAAGCCAAACCTGGTTGCTAAATCCCTTCTACTAACTGTCCATTGCAATTACAGTACAGCCCAAAGATCTCTGCAAGGACCACAAGATCCTGCTTGATCTGGCTCCTGCTCACACTTTTGTCCTCCTCATCCTCTACCACTGCAGGCCTCTTTCACACAGCCCTGACACCTTCCAAACCTTCTGTTCTTGACTCAACACATTCCACTGACCTTTTCTTGGAATGCTTTTCCAGCTTCTGAATGACTGGTCCTTACCTTATCATTGCCAAAAAAAGAACTATCTGACCATTTTTCCCCTTTCAGAAAATCACTCTCCATTCTGTTGCTTGTTTTTGCTTTCTGCTCCTTCTGAAGGCTTCCCATCTCCTTCTTATCGATCTCTATGACAACCTGCAAAGTGATACCTCATCTGGCCATCTTTTCCTCTCCAATCTCGGCTCCTTTCTGTCGTCACCCACCCACCCAAGTCATACTATTTCCTCACTGTTTTTACATAACTGAAAGCCTGTCCTAGCTCAAGATTATCAGAGGTGTCATCCCTTAGAAATAGTCTCATGTAAAACTAACATCACTGGATCTTTCCTGTCATTTAGGTCTGACTCAAGTGTCAGTTATAAGGTAGATCTTTTTCCATGACCCCAATTAGCATAGAAACCCTACCAGCACAACCATTACACTCTATCTTTTACCTTTTAATTTCTCAAAACCCCTTCCTCAGCATGTTAAATAAGTATATTGACTTGTTTTCTGCCAAGTAGAGTGTGCCATCTAGCAAAGCAGCGGTTGTTTTCAACACTGCTATTTACATTGTCCTTAGATAAGCAGTATACAGCTTCCTATTGAATCCAGGAAATTAATTTATGTGAAATAAATATATGTGTCTAATTTATGTCTTCATGTCTCTACCACATTGCCCTACAGCAGCAAGCCCTTAAAGACACAGCCATGTAGAGGAAGAGAGATTAATTCAATCACCATTTAAAATCATAACTGATTTTAGTGTCTGTACTTTCGAATCTCCCCAAACACTTTGTTTCAGAAGTGAGTACCAGTCAATCCTGTTATATAAACTATAGACAAACAAAACCAAAAGGAACAAAAACCAGAATCCCAGCATAGTGGCACAGCCTTTAATCCCAGTATCCAGGAGGCAGAGGCAGGAGGACCTCTTGTGTGTTTGAAGCCAGCCTGATGGACATTGCAAGTTCTAGGACACCCAGTGTGACACAATGACATCCTGTCTAAAAAATAAAATAAAAAACCTCGGAGGACCAGCCCTTTTGTACCAGAGGAGTAGCCTGAGATGGCTGAGAACCGACCCCTGCTGAGCCCTTCCTCCACCTTCAACAAGGGAGGTGGGGCCACTCCCCCCCTACCCTGCGGAGCTGATCCGGGGAAGTACGGTGCAAAGGCTGGATAGAGGAAGTGCAGCACGGGCTGCAGTAAAGACACAGAAGGCTATTGCAAAATAAGCTGGCCCCTTTACCTTCGGTGGAATTTACTGGATCAGGATTGATCCACGCGATGTGAAAAAGGATACAGGAGACGGACCTTAACAGTAGCAGCGTCCTTTCACTAGAACAATGAAGGACCGTAGTGGGGGGAGGGGGGTTGGAGACTGCGCAGAAGCTCAGGGGGCTTGAAGGTTTCACAGGGCAGAAAGGGGAACTTTTGAGGTGAACGGTTCCTTCTTCACATCTGTTCCTCTAAAGTCTCAAAGTTGTAAATACAAGGGGGAGGTTGATGTGTCAGGGCCCTAACTGCCTGTAGGTGTTATCAGCCCGTGAACTCTCCTGTAGGGAGTGTCTCAGCTAGCCTGAGACTTCAGTAATTAAACCCTCAGATGAGCATCTGGGCCTTAATCTTAGTCCTTATCTTACAGAGAACACATAGACCTCCACATGGATGAGAAACGAAGCGGCTTTCCCTAACCTTAGGGAGGGAAGTGTTTCCTTCAAGGTGGGAGATAGGGGCTAGGCAAAGCGGCCCAAACTTGCCAAACTTGCGGAGCTCCAGAGGCGGGGCTTTGAGGTCGTCAGCTCCCTGGGGCTCTACAAGCACCTCAGTGCAAAGCCGCGAGTCTGCGCGGGGAGGGGGCAGGACTCACAGCACTTCCTCCCCGAGCCCACGTCCTCCCCTCCAGGCCCGCGCAGCCCAGGGGCCACAACCGCGCTTTTCAGCTCAGCTCAGCCCAGTGCACTTCAGAGCTTCTTGGGGCCACCTGGTGTAGCTCAGCTCAGCCCCGCGCTTCTGGGCGCAGCCCCCTCACCCCAGCCGTCAAGGTAAGCGACACCCCAACCTCGCGCGCAGCATCTCGAGGCATTCGGGCCGCCATGCTTCGTGTCCGGTGGGAGGGGACCCGAGCCGCACAGGTCCACGCATCGGCCACGTGAACCTGGGCTCCCTGTGCAACCTGGAGGCTCCAGATCGGGGCGCACCCCTGGCACTTGACCTGTGCCAGACCTGAGGCTCCCTGCTCTCTCCCCCTGCGTTCTGTCTCACTCTATTTCCTGCTTAAGAAATGCTGCCTGTCTTAGGCTTGGGACCCCCTGAGCTGAGACATCCCCGGAAGCATTTTAAGGCCCTGCATCGTTAATCGCTAGTCTGAGACCTTTGAGAGTTAGTGGACTTCATTTAAAACTTTAAGAAACTATGATTCTGGAAATGATCTTTCCCTCTCAAATAGTCTCCCTTTCTTTGTGAAATGTGGTGAGGATGAGTTTGAATACCAGACACGGGTTTCCTTAGTTTGGAGTCAAGATGCAGAAAATATTTTAAATCATGAAAGATAAAATGCCCTTGTATCCCCGAGAACCCCGGCGCAGCCCTCCCACCCCCACTCACCACGTGTGCCTCTTCTTTTTCCCCACGGGAATGTATTTCACACCGTGATGAAGAGTGACATGTGCCACTCAGCATCTCGAATCAAAAGTTTTTTTGTGAAAAAGAATGAAAGTGGAAAGTAATGCAGAGAAGAAAGGGTGGGTGGATTTTCCAAATAAGGGGTGGGGGGTGGGCACGACAAGGACAGTGCTAGAGTTTTTAAAATCTGGGACCCCAAACTGAAACTTTAGAAAGGAAACCTTGGCCTTTAGTCCAAACCAGGAGTTTTGCCTTGTGGGCCTCACACAGAAGCTTGGTCCTTGAGAGGAATGCTGGCTAGCAAGAGAGCAGGAGATAAGGAGAGCCCTGAAATGTCCCTCCAGGTGGTGTTTCCCGTCTGCTCAAAGATCTGCGGAAATGTAAGGTCATCTTCAAACCATTAGTACTTAATTTCAGAGTGCTTACAAACACCTGTGACTTTTCTGCTACTTGGTAGATAGACTCGGGTTGTCAGGGATGGACTTAATTGCACTGTTAAACCAGACCGTACTGGATCTGAAGTAGTGAGAGTGGAGACAACAGTGCGTGAAGGGGGTTGGGGAGGGGGCAGCTGGGCTGTGGAGCACATGCTGTATGAAGTCCTGTGTTCAATACCAGAGGGAGCAGGAGGGTATGCTAGCAGACTGATAGAGCTGAAACAAAACACTGTTGATGGTTTTGGTTTCTGAGAAATACCACTAAAAAGCAAAGCAATTTCTGGTCTCTGTGTGAGTTGCCAACATTCCATTCTATTGCATTTCAAAAGTCCAGAGTCACTATTTTTCAAGAAATGTAACTTTGAAATGTGTAGTTAATTACACATAATGCTTACTAGGCTCTGTAGCACCCACTGTTTTCTCTGAAGTTTTGTATTCTGAGAATGTGTACCAATTCTCCACTATAGTGTCACCTTATGTCATAGATAGATAAAAAGTTCTAGATATTTCAATATTACATGGTGAGCAATTTATACAGTTTATTGTCCTGAACATTTGTGTTTTGCTACTTTGATTTCTCATAGATTGAGGTTGTTTTTCTTTATTTATACTTATTTCTAGTCCTTTTTTTACTTCATTTTATCTATTTTGATGAGCAATCCTCTTAATGAATCTGCAGGGTTTTTTTTTTTTTTTAGAATAAATTCAGTTTGTGTTCTATAGTCTATCAAACCATAATATTACAGAACATCATGCGTGAGTGACCTTAGGAACTTTCAAAAATAGAATTAAAATAAGGCAAAAATGAAACATTTTGTTTCATTATAACATAACTGGAAGGTAATTTTATGCAGTGTTTTGGATAATTTTGTGTGTGAGAAAAATTATATATTACAGCTAAGTTGTTGCATGCCTTGTCTCTACCTTGGAGATGCTGAATAGATCTGTGTGGTAGGTCTGTATGTGGACTGAGACATGTCACATGAGGTTAGATCAAGCCTTAAGGTGTTATAATTTTTATTATTAGCTTGATTGACATTTTCAGTATGAAAATGTATCTTTTTTTTTTTTTACCAATTATCTCATCCCAAATGACAAGTCTCTTAGAGTTCAAGCATCATATGACCTCAGATATAAAATAAATACTAATTTTAAAATTTAAAGGTATTTGATGGGGATACTGGTTGTACAGTGATGTTTATATGTTGAAGCATAGTTATAATTACCTGGAGACATGGCTTTCAGAGGCAATTTTGCATCTGGAAAAACAGTACATTTCTCTAGGGAAGAGAGGGAAGAAGCACTAAAGTACAACGCCACCTCCCAGTTCAAGAGCCTGCATTGTACTGCATGTAGCAGGGTAGGGCCTGAGGATAGTGCCACCACTGCATCCCCACTTGCTAGCCAAATTTTGTCACCAGAGTTAAAGTTCAAAACATGCTAGCTAAATCAGTTCCACTTCTCAGGGGCATGAGCAAAATGTCTCAAGCCCCAAGACCCAGTTGCTCATCAGTCCCAATCTAGGCAGGAGGGGAGATAAAACACCACACCAGGCTATCAGACTTCTCAGTACAGACACTGTACCTTCAGTTCAGGACTCTGTTTCCACACATATCCTGAGCGTTGACTATGAAACTGAATCACTAAGAACTGTATTATGAGACCTATTTCCTTCCTCTTATTGCAACTTGGGTTCCTTTTCAATCACCGTGTGGTGGTAGTACATAATACTTATTGTGCTTATTGAACTTATTGTTTCATTATCTAAGTTCTTGAGTCCAGAAGTTTCATATTTTAGATTCATATGGGGGTGGGGGATAGCATGTTTGCATATACATGAGATATCATGAGGATCAATTATGATCATGAAATCATTTGTTTCATACACTTTATACACGTAGTTAGGTGGTACTTTATGCAATGAAAGAGTTTATGTATATATTTCAGTTAACAGGTATTTATCCCCTTAGGAAGGCTAAATAAATTCTGTGTTGTATGCTTATATGTTTTTAAATCTCATTTTTAATTTTTTTTATTTATGTGCATTGGTATTTTGCCTGCATGTATATCTGTATGAGAGTATTGGGTACCCTGAAAGTAGAGTTACAGCCATGAATGTCCATGTGGGTGCTGGGAATTGAACCTGGGCTTTCTAGAAGGACAGCCAGTGCTCTTAACCTCTGCGCCATCTCTCCAGCCCCCATGCCTGTATTTTGACTCTGAACTGTCACGTGTGTAGTCAGCTGTGGAGTTTGCTGTTTGTGACTTCATGTTCATGCTCCCAAATGTTTCAGATTTTGGAAGATATTGGATTTGAGGTTTTCAGAGTTAAGGATGCTCAACTTGTGTGGCGTACCAGACACTGAGATAGCTGAACTACAACTCAATTTGTTAATCTGTACATCTGGACTTGTAGTGTAACTCCTCTTTGTCACTGATGAATTGAAAGTGCAGAGAGGTCAAGAAATGTACATAAAGAGTAAAACGCAGAGCTGATACTTACCTGGGAAAGTTTGATAACAACACCCTACATCAAGCACCAGGGCTCAGATAAGGAAAAAGATTGTAATGAGTAAGTTTTCCCACCTGTCTGGACTCACCGCGGCACCAGCCCCAAATAACACACAGAGACGCTGTATTTAATATAATGCTGTTGGCCAGGTACTAGTTTCTTATCCACTAGCTCTGTCTTACATATTAACCCATTCCTATTAATCTAAGTATTTCCACATGGTCTCATCTTACTTGAGAGTGCGGTTGGTGTTCTGCTCTCTCCATTCTCTCAATGTTGACCCCTCCTTACTACTACCTCGAATCCTCCTTGTCTCGTAGTCCTGCCTATCTTGCTTTCCTATTGGCCAACAGTGCTTTATTCATTAACCAGTATGAGAAACATATTAACAGAATGACATCTCCCATCAAAAGATGAGTCCTCACTGAGCTTATAGCCTTGACGTGGGGAGAAGACCAGACAGAGATAATTCTACATGTGACTAAAGTTGTGTTCTGTGTGACCACATAGCAGGTCCCTACAGTAGACCAGAGCGAGGTAGGAGGATGAATAAAAGACAGCCAGACAGAACAAACAAACAATGACAAAGTTGCTTTGTTATTGATGGAAGACAAGAGAGATATCATCTTCAGCTTTAAAGTTATTACCTTTATCTTTTGAAAAGTAACTCCTTCCTAATTGCATTTTCATTCTTATCTTTATTTTATCCAAATTCCTCATGGTGGCCTTCTGGCTTGACTAAATCAACAAAGTAGTAAGTCTAATCTTTTCTCTAACTCTATTGGAAGTCTTATATCTCAGACTCATCAGAGATATGTCTGTCTGCTGGGAAGGAGATAAGTGTTTAATTACTTGGGAATTATGTTCTCACACTGTGGCTAGAAGATTTATGCCCAGGTAATGACATCCTGTTAGACTAAAGAGAAATAAAAGTAACACCAGAAGTAAGCTGTGACTGGATATTTTCCATTTGTTTTTATTATGAAATTTTTATTATGAAAATTTTCATGTATACGAAAGATGATTAAATATTCACATATGCATATATTATATATAATGGTGTATGTGTATATATGTAATGGATATGAATAATAGTATATTATTCTGTTACTCTCCTCAACACCTTATTACTTGAGGTATCCTGTCTCTTAGGTCCAAATATGCCAGCTTATCTAGAGCTGCCTAAGCCTTTCCCTTTCACATCAGGCCCTATCAATTTCCCCTGGCCATATGTCCCATTTAGGGCTACTATTGCTGTCATGAAAAACCATGAGTAAAGCAACGTAAGGAAGAATGGGTTTATTTGGCTCACAGTTCATCATCAAAGGAGGTCAGCACAGGATCTCAAGCAGGGCAGTAACTGGAGGCAGGAGCTGATACAGAGGCCATAGAGGAATGCTGCTTACTGGCTTGCTCCTCATGGCTTGCTTAGCCTGTTTTATTATAATAGAACATAGAACCACCAGCTTAA